ATCTCGAAAAAGAAAATAGTATCGGTGTGATTTCTGCCTGAGAAGTTCCAACCTTCGAGATGTCATCCATCGGTTCGCCGGTGGCTCAAGGAACGAGAGGACTCGTGCGGTGCCGGCAGTGAAAGAGCGCGGCCGCGGGAAGGGAGGCCCCTTCGGTAGGTAAGGGTTCGAGGCCCTTTTGGTAGATAGGAGTTGGTAGGTTGTTAGGTTAGGCCGCTGCCAGTGTGTGCTCCTACGGGAGTCACACCTAGCCGTGCAACTTTGTGTGGTTAGAGTTCAGCGCCAAAGCACAAGTAAAGAATCAACATGCATCAACATTCAATCATGGACTGTGAGTAGTGTTAGACACAGAGCTGCAAATCAGAGCTGCAAAGCCTGTCCTGAAGCATCACCGACTTGTTGTTCAACCTTGCAGCAAGCATGGAAAGAAACAAGGCCACTAGACCACTAGGCTGCACAGTGTTCACCTCCATCCCGACGAAAAGATTGGAGAACTCCATGTGTCCCAGCAGGAAACCGTACACCATGTGCTCCGGCACCGAAAGTATGAAAGGTTCGCAAGCAAAGGTGATTTCCCAGAGTCTCACACGATTTCTCACGGAAGAACAGGGAGGTTCTCCCAATGCACCTCGATGCTTAGTAACAAAGGGCATCGCTACTAGGAGCAAGAAGCTACTAGGGGCTCCTGGCCTTACTACTAGGAACAAGAAGCTACTAGTTCTCTCTTGGCATTTTTTCACCGGATCAGCAACACCTGCTAGAAACTCTGCCGGGAGTGTTTCGGCTGATGTGTCGGAAACGGCATGCCACATGGCCCGAAGGATGCAATACAATACCATCAGATTTAGCCTCTCAGGGGATTTCATGAACACCACTTTCGGCTCAAGTTGGCGTCGTCGCCAGAGCTGTACAAAGTGTATTGGAAGTGCATGAAAAGACAGGAAGGCATCATGAAGTAAACTTTTGCACCCGTCCCATCCCGGCCCACGTCACACGTTGTCAGAAGTCTTGTCTCTTGCCTGGTTCTGAGGTTCTGAAGGATCTTCAAGTTCCACTTGTCTACCTGGGCGAGGTGGGCGTCAGACCAGATCGAAGGTAGGTGGATCCATCCCAGATCCACAGAGTCTCAAAGCCTCCGAAGAACGCGAGATGTTCGGACCGTTCTCGGTCAATGGTCATCCAACAGGTGTATTCATGGTTTGGTGCTTTCCCTCAACAAGCTACAATATGCTACAATCCTTGTCTGCCAGGCGCTTGTTGTTCCCCATGTAAAACTGTTGAACAAAAACGACCGATTCGAAACCTGACATCCCGCGGTGCGATCGGCGCGCGGCCCAACTGGGCTGGGAAACCATGGCATCCAGCTGTTGCCAGTGAACCTCTTGGAGCTCTTGACTCTTGAAGATCTGGGCCTCGGCAAGATGTGGACCGGATGAGGAGAGTGTACACCATACTCTATGACCATTTGACTATATATGTATATAATATAATACCTGAAGTATCCTGAAGTATATCATCTATTAAGAAAGGAGCCCTTCCCGTTGGGGAAGTACCAAGAATTCGCTCGGGGCGAACATAACATCAAACATGTTGCCGGTATATGTAGTATATTGTAGGTCTATACTATGGTCTAGGTCATTGTAGGTCTATCAACTGTCTATCACTGACTACCAGTAGGCCGGAAAAGGCAATTTGCTCATTCGTGTCCTTCGCTTCCCTGTTCGGTGTTCCCGCACTGACCGCAGCAGACTTCGGGCCCCGGAGGCCCTGGCCAAGTTGAGAATCTCCAGAAGCAGCTCACAGCGGGTATGAAGCTCCACGCCTTTGGGCTGCTTGTCATCGGGACTTCGGGTCAAGGTCCACTGGATGTCCCCAGTGGAACAGATCCAAGGCAAAGGAAAACACTTGAATTAGCATTAGCTTCTATCTGAATCTATGTTGCTTGATTACAATGTCTACCAGCAGGATCCCTAAACCACAGGATGGCCATCATTGAGGCGTCTTCTTGTCCCATAAGCCTGCAAATCCGGATAGCAATTGTCAAGAAAGTGGGTCTTGACCCCACGGAAAAAAGCACTCTAGCGATGCCTTGCGTTGTAAGTTCAAAATAGCAACAATCATCCTCTTGCAAATTTGACGCAGGTTCCAACCATCCCTTGCTAACTTTCATAGATAGATAGATAGATAGATAGATCGATAGATCGATAGATCGATAGATCGATAGATAGATAGATAAATAGATAAATAAATAGATAAATAGATAGATCGATCGAAAGATAGATCGATCGAAAGATATGAACTAAATAGTGGCCCATGAGAGAGCAGCTTCTCTCCATCGCGGCACGTAAACGTGATCTCAACTCTGCGCTGTGAATAGTCATCAAAACGATTCAAAACACACATTGCACGAACAAGCAAAATTGCAGCCACGGTACACATGCAAATCGGCAACATGTCCTCCAGTTGCTCTGACATGTCCTTGCATTTGGAGCAGCACAGCTCCTGGCTTCGGAGAGTCAACATGAGTCAGAATGTGCGCAAGCGCGCTGATCAACAAAGAGTGTTGCTGGGATTCCTGTCATTTCACAACCTTGCTCACTGAAAAAATAGACAGGCTGGTGATTTAAAAGCTCCTGATACAAAAGAATAACCTGCTTGACTCCATCCCAAACCACCAAAGGTTGATTGCACTCTCATATGAAACCACAAGGAAAAAACCTTGAATTCAACATAATTCAACAGTTGATTCCGATCACCTCACTTCTGCCACTGATAACTGCTCCTGGTCAAAAGACCACAGATCTGCCTCGCCACAGAAGCGGAGCACCTGGTACCGCCAAAGGTTTTGATTGATGTGGACAGTGTATGGAGAATCTTTGTCAGAATCATAATGAACTTGAAACACTTGAGATGCTCCACTGTCTTATAATTGGACTGAATCTATTATTGTTTTATTTACTGTAAACATGCATAGTTGGCTGGGGTTTTGTTCACCACTGATCTTGGTATAACTCTGTCCTCTGCTCATTTGCTCATCCAAAACCCCGAACTCCATCGCTAAACATGTGCGGCTTCAAGTAGATTGGTCCAAGGCCCTGAATGACCCTGATATACAACAAATGAACATTCCTGGAGCTGTACGGTACCCTCCATGCAATTTTTGTTCATTCACCGCTTGTTTGGCCACACCCTGATGTGACTGTCGTCGTAATGTACACACCACTTTAAACACATCCAGGAAAATGACAGAAACTACCAGTTGAACAAGCATCAAAATGGTACCACTAAGTGTTGCTTGTTGATTTGTCGCACTCTCTGTCAAAAAAACCAGCCGTTCTGCCTGTTCCCCATCCGGGGGGTACCGGCTCCAATCCATCGGGCGCGCGACATAACGCGACCTCCAAGAACTCCGCAGCGGCCGACCAGAGCTCGGCCAGGGGATCGAGCAACGACTGGGCCTCCGTGAACTTCTCCTGAACGAACAGGAGAAGAATGGCATATATATATAATCATACAGTGTATATATATATATATATGATTATACAATATTATACATGCATATTCCTTGTGACAAACCATTCCTTTTCTTCTACTATTAGCTGCGATATATGGAAAAAAAAGGGAATATCGCCCAAGAGAGCAACACCAGCTGAAAACATGGAGATATGGAGCTTGGTACTGAGCTTGGTGCTTTTGTTGACACATGTTTTCATTGTTGTCTCACAAGGCTGGATTTGCAGTCAAATCAATAGACACACACACTTGCCAAGTTGTATGCAACTTCGAAGGGCACTCATGGTCGTTTCGGCTGGTTTCCTTGGGTTGTTTCCTGCCAAGTACGAGGCTTGTGCATGGGGGCTTGTTTGGGCAACAACAACTCCCATGTGTTTCATTATTGTGGCTGCAGCGTCAGCGTGCAGCTCATGTGTGATCACCTAAAGTGGCACGTTGTAACTGTAACTGCAAGTTTGGGGTCAGTAAAGTTATACAAAGGTTTCCTGCTCGCAAATGGAATGGCAGTGCGACTGAACACCTATATGTCAAGCATGCTGCGTGGACGTTACCCTACACTGTAATGCTAGTGCACATTCAAGAAACGCAACCGGAGTGATGCGAACTAGGTCTGTTCAATATTGAAAAAATAGTGTAGGCCGTTCTCAACACTGTTGGTCTCGTGTACTAGGACAACATTCACTCTATCAATCGTAAAAACAGAAGAACCGTGATGTCCTTTTCCCATTGTTGTACTTTGAGCATTAAAGAAAAACACGTCACACATTCATGAAGAACAACTCAATGACGATTCTTGCGCCCCAACTGGAAACCCTCGACGCCCTCCGAAACAGGTCGCCATCGCTATCCGCCGACCGCGAGGTGACGAATGTGCGCCTCGCACGTGGCATCCTCGACACCGAGACATCGCAACTTCTCGGTCCAATTCCTCACCAATTCCTCGCAGGTTGCACCGGTGACACGAGATCCACCCACCAGTGCGGGGTCTCCAGGCGTTGCACCGGTGTTGGGTCTCCAGGTGTTGCTTTTGGCACCCAAAAGTCGTGCAGCGACGTATTTCAATGGCCCAATACTAGTCCTTTGTCAAGCCAAACACATTGTTGATGGCTCAATGTCTGGAAGAAGAAGCTCTGTGACACTTTCAGAATCTGAGGATGGAAAGGAAGAATCGACTAAGACTTCTGGGTTGGGGGGGTCTCCCTCTGACACGGGGAGGATTGGCAACAAAACCGTGGCCTGGCCTCCAGCTGCTGGAGCTCCTGCGACTTCTTCGTCAGAAGCGCCTGACCAAGGGCACGCAAGTATATATAGGGCTGTCTCATTCAAACCGAGACCTTTCTACTATCAAAGTGGTACTTTGACTTCAGCTGTTTAGATCGAACCATGAGGGATGTTCTGTGCAGCCATGTCGGATATTTCTGATGATGACACATCTTCGATCAGCTCTGCACTCTATGACTTGGAGGCAGCTGGAAGAACTAATTTCTTGCTGAAACGTGTATCCCACATTATGTGGTGCAGGAAATCAACGATGAAGTTGATGAACATCTATGCAAGTGGCTGGAGATGGCTCCAGGATTCATCATGAGCTCTGGTAACTTTGCATTATATAGTCAAGAGGAGTCTTGGGAATGTTTAGAGTAGCAATTTGAAGCCATAAGGTTTGACTGCTTGGCTTTCTCAATTTCGCGGGGACTTTACCTATGCCTCAGACTGTTCCTGAGCTGCAGTAGGTACACATTTGAGGTCGCTTTTCCTTTAATGTTTGGACATTGGTTGCTTTCAGGCAGTGGTGCTGACGTTCCTTACCAAGCAGTTGAAACCATATTCTGGAGCGCTCAAAAGCTTGACAATGTCAACTTCTTGTCACTTGCTTCGAATATGAGTCAAATTTGTTCTGGTGACCTGGACCTAACCATGGGATAAGTCACTAAGGAGTGCCTCTGAGTGTCATCCGCAGAAGATGGCATTCCTTCAAGCCAACTTTCCATCATGTGGCCAGTTACTTTTCATGCAAATTAAAGATGGTGGGTGGCCCCCGAGCATTAACTTACTGCTTGCCATCTAAGGTTCGTGGACAACATGTTTATTTCCGAGTCAAAGAAGTGGCAAATCCATGATGCTGCTTGGTGGTAATATGGGTCAGTTGGCTTTAGTGTGTAGTTGAGTTCATTTCCACTGGAACCTAGGTCAGCTTATATGTGGTTGGCTTCCCGTGCCAACCATACTCACTGTTGAGCCAAAGCCGGAAAATGTTGTCCGATCCGAATGCACGCCAGATGGTCAGAACAATCCGCCGGATCCGGCGATACCGACCAAAAGTGGCTTGTCAATTGCTGTGTGTGAGATGTTTCTCATGTCATCTCATGTCTATGTATGCATCTTGTGCTGTGCTCAGGTGGTGGTGCTTGAGAATGTGCTCGGATTTAAGCCGGTCCTTCCGCACTTGGTGGCATTGATCCGGGCGAATGTTCCAGGGCCTCTGAGCTGCACTGGCATCCAGTCAAGCCAATGCCTTCAGCAAAAGGTAGCTACTTATTCTTCAGGTACAAGATGAGTGTCAACATTCTGTGCCCGCAACTTGAACTTTTTACATTGTGTCATCAAACCTTTTTGTGGGATTAAATCTTGCGTGTGTGTTGATTTGATTGATTGAGCTAAGGACCTTGTTTGGATGTCCGATGTCCAGACGGCGAATCTTCCTTACACTTGTGAGGATGGACGTGCTTCAAGATCTGGGTTGCGAAAGCTTCAAAGGTGCTTTGCTGAGGCGGCTCTCTGGACAAATGCGACCGGTTGCTACCAGATGGACTTTCAGCTGCAGTTGTTCACTTCCAAGCTCATCAGATGTTCTTTTCCTCACCCAAGGCAAGACTTGCTCCTCAGTCGGGACCATCCAGTGGTGAGGCTTAATCGCAAGAAGAAAGAAGGCTTGCGACTTCAGAATGCAACGAAGCTCTTTAGCTTAATCAGATTCAGATGTATTGTATTTTTTGGGTCTCCAGCTGGCAACATGAGATGCTGACATGCTCAGGCCAATCAAGACAGATGCAAAATGGATCAAAAAGCATAAAGACTGGGCAAAAACTCATCAGGCCTTTTTTTCCTGTGCTTTTAGGTTGATGAGTCGTTGTTGGAGTGCAGGTGGATATTCCACAGGCCGTTCACTTCTTCAAGCGGAAATATGCAGAAGCTGCTCGCTATGTAACCACAGCTCGTGAGATGCAGGCCTGTTCCAAGACACCTATTCTACTATTTCACATTTTGGCTGATGCTGAATGCAGGCCATATCCATCTTGACAGCAGTTCACAATGTCTCCTGTGCCAACACCTCGCAGACAATAGACCACATGCCTTTTTCAGTCAAAGGCCGCAGTGACATCCTTCCATGTCTTACGATCCTTGACTGCCCAAGAGTTGCAAGAGTTTCCTGTTGTTGTGTCCAGTTTCAGTTGCACTTTGCTAGCATGCTTTGTTCTGAGGCCAAGTGGAAAGTTTCTGATCCTGGAGGAGAGCAACTACCGGTACATGACGGGCCTTGAGGCGGCGATGCTGATGGGGATGCCTTGCCACCGACTGATCCATAAATCAACACCAGATCATGCTCCTTGTCTGACCTTCTCTGCATCATGTTCCTTTGTTGCTACCTGTGCTATGCCTAGGTGATGCACTCCTTAGCCGGGAACGCTATCAGTATGCACTGCATCCTCCCGTTGCTTTGTGCAGTTCTTGCCTGCACAAGGCCTGATAGAATGTCTCAGCCTTGAAGGATGCAGTTCTCTCGAGGAAAACCAACCATTTGGAGCTGGCAGTCTGCAATGCAAACATTGACAAATTGCATAAAACTGTGCCAGCGTTTTGTGCTGTGTTTTTGGCCTAAAGAATACAGTTTCATTTCAATGACAAGACTTGTCTTCAGTGAGGGTCTAGATAATACGTGTTCCAGATAAGGGAAATTGTATACAGTACAACAAACTCAAGAACAGTTGTTGGACACCATGCCCATTTTGGGACGCTATGATGCTGATGCTGACCAGCAGAGCCAACATCTTTGGCGGTATGACCCCACCAGTTCAGACTCAGATTCTGAATCAGAGACACTTGGCCTGAAGTTTGTAAAGCTTCAAGCACATTGAACGTACTGTAAGTAAATGTTTGAATAGCCAAGGACTTCTGGTGATGGTTCAAGTTCATCTGGATCTTCTCATGATGGTTCAGGGGATGGCCAGGGCGGGATGGGATCTGTGGATCTTGGCCTCGAGCTTCTGCACTCAATGCATGCAGTGTCTTCAAATGTCAACAAGGATGCAACAGCCTATGACCGTCAAGGAATGGACAAATCAAGGATCAAACATGCTGTGAAACAGCCTCGATGCAAATGTCAGTGCACTGCACCATTCCAGATCGTGCTCAAAGTTTGTGTTGCCTTTTGGATGTTGACAAAGGCAGGACAGGACACCGTACTATGGAACATACAGCATTCGCAACCTGGAGACCGGAAGGAGTGGTACATTGCAGGACTGATTGTAAATGCACAAACAACAGCACATCAGATCAGTAGCATTCAATTATATAACAACTTGGAAGGACAACATGTCTGTAAGGTGGCATGGCTGTATATGATGGGCATTGGCAGACAACGGCTTCAGAGATGCAAGAAAATGTGGAATGGAAAGGATGGAAGGTCTTTACGAGGATTCTTTTTTTGAAATATTTTCAGTGTACACAGACACATGTTTGGGTCCGTCCATTAATCTTGCCCCTGTGAATTAAAGCTCTCAGGAGAGACAGCTCATCCACCTATCAAGGCTGCATCTGTCAACGCCTTCATGGTACATATGTACTGGACGGCTGGAGAGCCAATGACAGTGGAGTGCCTTGGCTAAACTTGCATTAAAAAGGATTGTATCATCCAAGTTTACATTGCATATTCATGATTGGCTTTCAAATGTTTTCAGGATTGCCACCAAAGCAACCCTCGATCAAGCTGATGAGCCTCTGAGAGAGGAGCTTCTACAGCGCCTTATCGATAGCAGATTGATGGGAGCTTCCCAACAAGTCAGCTTCAACCACGACCCAGCCAGGTTGCCAGTTCGAGAGCTGCCTCACTCTACATGGAGTGAAATGTTCTTGCTTTACAAAGCTTACATGAAGACCAACGGGCAAGAGCCAGCATCGAAGTCATTGTTTTTCCGACAAATCAAAGGATGGAAGCAATGCATGCGCTTCCATCAAAAAAACCCATCACGCACAATGCATGACATGCTGCCGATACAGGTCTGCCCTGCAGAATGCGACTGAAACTTGTTCATCCATTGGTTAAGCGTTTGCTTTCACCACAGCACAGGATTCAAATTTAGAACATTGGATTCCTTTCCTGGATGTTGCCTTCAGGACTTCCAGGAAGCTGCGAAGCTATCAGATGGGCTTTTGGGGCATTACAGTGCCACATGGCGCGACAGGTCTGTGTACTACCTCGCAAGAGAAAGGGCCAAGTGTCAAAAGGATCTATTGGTGATGATTCAAGACACATACGACCACACGAAAATGAGTTTGCCGGCTTGGCCCCGACGGCGATGCCCCAAGAAGCCAATCTTTGAAGCGACCAAAAGTAACATGTCTTGAACAGTAAGAGTTTGATTCTGTGTTTAAAGTGCAGCTGCCAGCTCTTTGACGGTATCCAATGAGGAACTCAGTTGACCTTAACCGGTACTATAATCCATGGATTCGGAGTGTACTTCTGGATTGGACAAGAAGGCCAACCTCAAGGATCAAATTGGACGATCGAGTGTGCGACTTGTTTGCAGTGTATTTCAGCTGCTAACCTTTATTTTGCTCTTGGTGCACTTGAGTGCAAGGCTATGAGAGCCATTGACAAAGCTTGGCAGAAGGCAAGATCCATTGGCATTTCCTTTCCACAGGAGTGCACGACTTAGATTGTGTTGATGCTGTTGTTTGTTTTGTTATTGATTCCTCTCATCCAAGGATATGGCTACAAGGAGATAACACAGTCAAGGAAATCCGCAATGCATACATTGGGAAGTGGGCATCGCTATTGACACAGGGGCGGTATGCTAGAAGCGTGTCTCACCACCATATGGTGGTGGGACACACGCATGAAGACATAGGCGGGCAACTCAAAGTGAAACTTTGTGCTTGAAGAATTACTCCACCTGCCCGGGCAGATGGAATCTTCAGCATTGTTACATCATGTCTCAGAGCATCTGATCCTGCTGACCTTCAAACCCCAGCAGATGTGGAAAGGAGCCTTGGTTCCAACAAC